GTCCATTCTCCTAGTGCTTCTATTCCGAGGAGCGCATTCTGGTCATCTGTAGATGGCTCATAACCCAGCTGCTCCTCTTCATATTCCTCAACCCAGTCTCCTTGCCCTTCTCTTGGAATAGGATCGGTTTTTTCCTCTGATCGGGGAGTTTTAAGTAGATTTTCTGAGGCGGAGGTAGAATGGATAGAAGGTTTCTTTGAGGATTCTGCTTTGTTCAACTTCTGTGGTTGAGAGATTGCTTGTTCTGTTTGGGGAAATATTTCTGGCCCTTTCCCTTTTTTGGCAGAATTGGCCTCTGGAAGCACCTGTGCGTTTTTCTCGTTATTGAGGAATGTACAGTACTGTCTCTGAACCCTCCTCCTTTGGGTTCTTGTCAGCTCCATTGTTGGTCTGCCACTTTTCCCGACAGAATACCACCTGCCTTCAATGATGGCCGCCAAAGGTTTATCACTTCTGGGCAACCTTATTGATTTTTCTTCCTTGGGCTGCTTAGTCATTCTTCTGCTGGATTGGACAGGCCTAGGGTAGTTTCTCTGTCTGGCTTTATCCTGGGGCGTGGTTCCAATCCGGTCAAAAACACTTGGAGTGGGCAGATCCTGTTTTTCCAGGATTACCTCCAGCTTAGCCTCACACTTACACCTGCTGCAGAGCACTATTCCAGCTGAAATGGTTGCTTTTGGTCTTTCCATAGTCTTGGAATAGGATCGGTTTTTTCCTCTGATCGGGGAGTTTTAAGTAGATTTTCTGAGGCGGAGGTAGAATGGATAGAAGGTTTCTTTGAGGATTCTGCTTTGTTCAACTTCTGTGGTTGAGAGATTGCTTGTTCTGTTTGGGGAAATATTTCTGGCCCTTTCCCTTTTTTGGCAGAATTGGCCTCTGGAAGCACCTGTGCGTTTTTCTCGTTATTGAGGAATGTACAGTACTGTCTCTGAACCCTCCTCCTTTGGGTTCTTGTCAGCTCCATTGTTGGTCTGCCACTTTTCCCGACAGAATACCACCTGCCTTCAATGATGGCCGCCAAAG